AACTGGCAATATTAATTTTATTATTTACGTTTTATTCATTAAAAAAAAAGTTCATAAAAGCAGGAATGGTACATTTGCCATTAAAAGAAATATAGGGAGCTAATTAAAGATAATATAATGTGTATGTAAGGAATTCCTACTTGTAAATTTTTTTATAAATATATGTGAATGTCTTTAATAGAATTAGCAAATATATATATATATATATATATATATATATATATATATGACTGGGGCCTTCTAAATTCTCTTTGCCTCACACTAATAAAAAAGATAGTAGTTTATTATCGATTTATCATATTTATGAGTTGATAACTAATAAATCGAATCAATAATATACAAAATTAAACTAAATTGACCGATAAGCACCTTAATAAAAGGAGGCGTTGAAGGCAAATTTAAGAATGGAGGAAGAAAAGAGATTTAGATTGCTTTCATCTTTTTGCTTTCTCATTATATATAGAGGTTAAAAATGGGACTTATCCTTAGTAACCACAATAAATAATATATTCTTAATCTTCAAAACTACAAGAATCAATATCCTCACATAATTCTATATTTATCAAGGTTTTTCGTGTCCATATACATTATTTTTACAAAAAAAAAGTCTTAATTATATTTAATGCTTCGATTTTAATTTTCACATTTTCATATATATATATATAATGAATAAATAATATTAAAAAATCCAATTAAATATATATATTTATATTTTGATACAAAATTATCATAGAAATATTGTAACGACCTGTTCCCGTCGTTATAGAAATGGGGGAAAATTTGGGGCCGAAAAACTTTTTCGTAGTATTTGGATTTTCCCAACCTAATCTAGATTTGGATGAAATCGGAGTCTTTAAGGTGCAGGAAAATCTGGTAACAATCGGGTGAATTATTTATGATTTTGATTACATGAGTGGTTAGATAACTCGTTAAGGAACCCGTACGACTTTACGGAATTGAATTCGGGCGAGTAGAACTCCCAGAATCGACCTTAGTGTAAATGGTATTTTCTGAACATCGTGGGCTAGAGATGTGTTGTGAAATGGGGATTTTGGAATTCTTTAAATAGTTCTTTGTTTCGTGCAACCCGCCTTGGCGGGGATTTTGGTCGCTTTGGAGGGGCAACTACAACGGGATAAGGGCTGCTGTGGCGGGCTCGACACGACTTAAGGCCATTAATAAACCCCTAAATGACCTTATTTGGCACTTTTCGATTTTTAGAGCTAAGGAACGAACCCTAGGCAACTCCTACTCGTTTTTCACCATTCTTGAGGCTAAAGGTAAGTTTTTCACTCCCCGAATCCGTTTTTCGATCCGTATAACGTAATATAATGGGTGAATATTGATGGGGGAAGGTTTGTTATATATTATATGGTGGAAACAACCCTAAATTAGATAATTGGGATCATGGGTTTGATCTAGGGTTCATAGAATTGTTAGTAATTCGGGTAATTAGTGGTTGTTTATTGATTCTCGTATTCTATTGATTGTTTGTAGACCAAGAACAAGCGGAATGAATTCGGAAAGGGAAGGATCAAGTTTCTTAGGGTTTCAAAGCTTGTTTCGAGGTAGGTGATGGTTGTGATTCTATGATTGTGTGATGTATGTTTGTTCTTACTTCATTATGATACGTGTGTATATGAATATTGCATTATTGATCACACTTGTTGTAAATGAGATAGATGAATGACGATTACCATGAAATCATGACTTAATTGTATGATCTTGAGGATATACTTGTGATTGTGATTGTGGTGTGTTGAATGGATCAGTTGCCACGTTCCGGCATAACTAACTTGGATCGGTTGCCACGTTCCGGCATAATTATGGGATCGATTGCCACGTTCCGGCATAATCATTGGATCGGGTACCACGTTTCGGTATGCTAACTGTTTGGGTTTGGGTTCCATGAGAGGACCAATGATTTGATATAATTGCGTATCTTGAGAAATGTGAAGTTGTTCATTGTTCGTATACGTTGATAATATTGTATATATTCATTATATGCATGTGATTATATTGTTGTGCTGACTTATGTATGTTACACTTAGTGGGATAGCCGTGTGATCCTACCAGTACATTGTGGTTGTGTACTGATACTGCACTCACTCTTATTTTTGTTGAGTACAGGGCATCTTCAAGCGACTACTAACAGACCTCGCTTAGGAGATCAGTGATCGTTCGAATTCAAGGGTGAGCCAACTCTTCCGGGCTTCCATGAGTTCTCCTTTTGTCTATGTCCACATTTTGAATTTGTAAATATATTTTAAAAACAAACTCAATTTTTTTGGGGGGTGACCGGAGAGGGGGGTGGGTGATCGAGGATCGGGATGAAAAAATAAAAATTTGAAGTTGAAAATATTTTTTAAAAACAAACTTAATATTTTTTCTTTTTGAAGTGGGTTGGGGGCTGATAGGGGGGTTGATGGGGGGGACGAGGGTAGTGGGTGGGGGGTAAAAAAATTAAAAATTGAAATTAGAAATATCTTTTAAAAACAATTTTTAATATTTTTTTTGGGAGGGGGTGGAGGTAGGGGTGAGGGTGGGGTAAAAAAATTGAATTTAAAAACAAGCTTTAAAATTTTTATTTTTTTTGGAGGGTGGTGGTTGGGGGGTAGTTTGAGGGTAGGCACAAAATAAATTGATTTTTTCAACAAAAAAAAATAATTGTAATTTGAAGTTGGAAGAGAGTTTTGGAAAATGTTTTCCTTAATTTTAGAAGGGAAGTCATTTTCCTTAAATTTGAGGAAAATGAGTTGATTTGGAAAACATTTTCCAAAACATTTAGCCCAACCAAACATGAGAAAATTGGAAAACATTTCCTTCATACCAAACACACCCTTAGTTTTGATTTAGTTGCTTGGTTTGGGTTGTAGTAGTGGTTCTCTCACCGGAGAGTTAGTGTGGGTGCCAATCACGACGGTCTGGATCGTGACAAATATATTTGATTGGAGGGTAAAAAATGACCCATCAATTTTTTATGGACATTTTGATAAGCTTCCCATTAATAATATAATATATTCAGTGTTATATCATATATGCAACACACTTCATATCATTTTTCCCTAAATGTATTCAAGATTTGTCCAAACTAACAAGGTATATGATGAAATTAAATTATTAGATATGACACAGCTAAAAGGAGAAAAATAATTTACTGCTAAAAATAAATAAAATAGATGATTACAAATAAGTTGAATAGAAATTTTACAAAAAGAAACTTATTGTTAGGTCTCACACTTTAATTATTGAGAGAGAAAAACGAAAAACATTGCATATTCAATATTACATTGCATAATGCTAAATGACCAGAAAATTTGGCCAGAATTTAACCAGAAAATTTTAAAAGTGTATAATATCTTTTTAATTTTAAAATAAAGTTATCTTTTTTCCATTTTTAATTAAAAAGCATGAAAGTTAAAAGGATAAAAATGTTCAAAAAGATAAAATAACATAAATAAAACGGAAAAGGGTCAAAATTGCCCCTGAACTATGCGAAATAGACCACTTATACCCTCTATTACATTTTGGGATAAAAAATACCCCCGCAGTTATCCCAGGAGACCACAAATACCCTTAAGAGTTAACACCCCAATTTTTTAGTGACGTGGCAAGCCACATGGGACTAATCCCTCCACCTAAGCATTGCCAACTAAGATTCACTACAAAAGAACTTGACTTAAATTCCAAAATATTGCCACTAAAGGTTATGAGTGATTTTTAGTGGCGACTAAGGCTCCAACAACCATTCGCTAGTAAAACCTATTTTTTCAACAAAAAAATATGATAATTAATTTTCGATTGAGACCTAATTTTCTAAAATAAATAACTTGCAATATCCATATTAAAAACATCCAATATTATTACGAAAAATAATCAAAATTACTTCTCGATTCAAATCTCCTACTATATATATATAATGCATCATTGTACATTTTATACATTTACATATGACATAAAAATAAACATATAGTGTCTTCAAACTCCTACTTAATCGATATCATATTTGGTTTTTTAAAAACAATGAAGAAAAAAACACAAAATTAGAATTTAATGTTAAAAACTTTTAGTGACGATTTTCTGGGCTTTTGTGGCGACTGTTGTTGCCGCTAAAGGTCTAGTTCTTTTGTAGTGAATCCTAGTTGGCAACGCTTAGGTGGAAGGATTAGTCCCACGTGGCTTGCCACGTCAACAAAAATTTGGGGTGTTAACTCTTGAGGGTATTTGTGGTCTCTTAGGATAACAGCAGGGGCATTTTTTATCCCAAAATGTAACGAAGGGTATAAATGGTGTATTTCATATAGTTCGGGAGCAATTTTGACCCTTTTCCGTAAATAAAATACCATTCTGACCAAGTTTTCTGGCAAAAAGGATTTTTCCTATTCCATTCATATAGTATATACACCATATGACATAATTCCCATGTTTAGTGTAATTTTTCTTTGTTATACAGATTTCATCGTATCTGAATTCAATTTTGGGATAGAATGCGATGCCCCAACTGTAGAATGATTGAAGATGAAAATTTAATCTCATCTTCGATCACTCTACAATTGGGCATGTATTTTACCCCTAGCACTGAATCTAATCCAATGCAATTTGCTTAACAAAAAAAAATCCACTTTCTCTTTGTAATGTGGTTGGACTAATGTGTGTATGTTCACTGGTAAGAAGGATCAATTCTACTAAATTAAATTACAAATTAAAAAATATTATTCTTATTTACTAAAAAAAAGTACTCATCAATTCACTTCAACAGAAATTTCACACAAATATTTCTTAATGCTAATTCTTAAATATTAGGAGTATCTCACAGACCTTTTTATTTATAGGCAAAAGTTTCAACCATTTTTTATTTTGGTCAACTTGAATTAAATTCTGAATTAATGGATGACAAATTCGGTTGAATTTTTTTAAGAAAAAAACTTGAATTAAATTAATTGCGACGCTAAGATCCAAATACCACTATTTCTGAAGGTCTTTTTCACCCCCTACGTTTAATTAATGTTTTCCTAAGGATAGTTCAGAAGTTTGCATCATACATCCCACAGTGAACCTTAGCCTAAACCGTTGGTGAAATATTAACAGTCATGTCATCGTACTGTTTTAGTAACTATTCACGGGCGATTACAAACTTGTAGTCCGAACACAAAGCATAACTGTTGCCACTTCCTTTAAGTTGACAAAATCGCAAACCTGATACTTGGATGATAAGTTATTTCTGCTTCTTGGACGGCTTGTTCCTAGTCTGCCTTGGTTCAGCCATTTGCTTGGTGGTTCTTCCCCTTTGATTGTGTTTTACTAGAAAGCTTTTGATCCTTGTCCTGTTCACTATCATCATCATCCCCACTAGCATCATTATCGTCGGTGTCTTCCTCATCATCACTTTCCTCTAGTTTTCTTTTTGCAGCCGTCTTTGTTCCTCTAGTTTTATTCTTTTGATCACCACCTTTTCCCTTGGAGCTTTTGTTTTGTTTTGCTTTTCCAGATTTCTTTGGAGCTTCATCACTATCATTTTCATCGTCACTGTAGCTTTCTTTTGACTTCTTGTTAGTAGAAGCTCTCTTAGTATTTGTCCCACGCTGCTTCACCTTTGACTTCCCAGCTGCTGTCTCTTCAATTTCTGGCTCTTCATCTTGACTATCACTATCGTTATGCTTGATTTTCTGAACTTTGACCTGTTGCCGTTTACCTGCCGCTTTTGCAGATTCAGCCCCCGTATTCTTTTGTAGCTCTGGAACAAAGGCTGATGTCTAGGATTAAAAAATAAATAAAAATGTGTTATCTAGTTACATTTGAGACGGTTAACCAGAAAATAGTGTAACAGAGCCATACCCTGCCACCTGCCGTGATGAATTCTATTTTCTTCCCTGCAAAATACACATTTTTCTGTCAATGTTCATCATGTAAAAAAACTAAAATTGCAAGCATATAAAAAGCTGCAAAGTTTTTATCTAAAATGACAACAAAACACTGAGCACAAAGAAAGCAGATCTATCACTTTTTTATTTTATGTTTACAAGCATGCAAAACTACTTAATATATCGTCTGGCAGTTGCAAAACAAAGCAGAAAATATTACTTCACGACAATGTGGATATGATGAGCAAGGATGATGAGAATAACCAGAACCCAACCAGGAGTAGCTTAAAAGTGAAGAGCCAAACCATCAACAAAGGCCTTGCCAGGTTTCTTTTCCCGGGAATGGAAAATCCAATTAGTAGGATACTGACTACTATCTGCCCCAACTTCCACAGCTTTTTTGATGACCTGTTACATACAATTCTGTGTCAAAATGAGGATGCATATGGAAAACTATCTCACCATTAACTTTTCCAGGCTTTTTGCCCCATCGGTAATGAAACAACCATTCAGAAGGGAAGCGGCTGCAATCAGCATCCACTTCAACTGCAAATTCTGTAACCTAGAAGTATCATCTCCAATAGCTAGCCATGAGGAAAGCAGTCTTATACAAATGATAAGTGATTGCAACAGCCAGTTCAAGAATGATGACTACCTCGTTGATGCACTTCAGCAATGTTGCACAGTCCTCTTTGGATATGCTTGAAGCAGACTGCATAGGATGGATTCTTGCCTGTCAAAAGAAACTTCACAAAGTTAATCACAAATATTTCCAATGGGAGCTTTCTCTTATTTGGTCAACTTCACAAGAGAAAGCAAAAATTTGCTAGCAACACCAGTCTGTATCCAAACTGCTTACAGCGGAAATGAAGAGACAAATTTGTCCATTTATTAAAGAAAAATAGTAACTAGACTTTGAATGAGCAAATAACTAAATAAAATTTGTAATTGCCGTAAAACGTAAAGCTAAGAAACTCAAAATTCTTGTATTATGGCCAAGAGTTGAGCACATCACCTGATATAACACTTCATCCGCAATCCAGTTGCCAATTCCTGAAATAAAACTCTGCAGAAGCAACAGCAGGAAAAAGATTTATAATGCCTACTAGAAAATGGCTAAAACTCCTAATGAATTTAAGGGTGATATTTTATTTTATTTATTTGATGACAAGGGAAACCCGCAGCCGCTACCTTTGGGTGCGTACAGGGTAAAAACTCCGCTCCTATGCAATAGCTCGCAGACCACATAGGAGAGGTAACCCACACTAAGCAAGCCCGGTGCGACGAGCTCAACCCAGAAGACAAACCCCTCCCCTTGCCAATGCTTTCGCTGGCAAGGGGTTTCGAACTTGAGACCTCCAACATGGAAGTCCCAAGCCCAAACCACTGGGCCACTCCGAAGGGTAATTTAAGGGTGATATAGCTTTTCTCTTTCCTTGTAAAAATACTGTTTATTGAATTTTCTTATACTGCAAGGAAGCTTCAATTATAAGCTACTAAGTCTAACTTTTACCACATGCTGGCTCCTAATGTTTAGCTGGATGACAATGTTTGTTCAGAGTAGGAAAGCAACAGATATATAGATATCTTTTCACGCATTAAAGCATTCACAGATAGATGTTACCACTCAGATGTGCAGCATCTTTTAAGCAGTTGATGCGCAAAATTAACTTATAGTTGAAAATAAACACGAAAAGAAAGGAAAAACAAGAACAACGTAGAGAACTAATCAAACGGAGATTCTTTTTGAAATGGTAATGACTAATGATTGTAGAAATAAAACAGCACAAAGAGTGTGCTGAGTATACTGTACAAGTCAGCAAAAGCATAAGAAAGAGAAAACCAAAAGTAAGGCTCTCTTAAACTCTTAGAGGAATTCTAAGAATTCCAACAAAGTTTCTGCCTTATTAGCATACTCCAACTTACACCAACAATGAAACAACAGAAGACAATCAACTTGCTTCACTGTACTGATTTGAAGTTTTGAAATAAGTAGAGATTGAGTGGTGGTCTTTTGTAGTAGACTAGTATTCCACTTCTAATACATCTGTTTAGATGGATATGCCTTCATCCTAAAATTTTGCATATCTTAATTACTATGTCATTAAAATATGTGGTTTAAAGAATTTCTTTGACCATTTCCCAAAAGTTCATATCCTTAGTCACAGAAAAGTAAAAATTGGTTTCTAACCTGGTCAAGTAGTAATGCCTTAATGCCAATCTTCTTCTTACTCAAAGCTTTATAGAACTCGTCTACAGTCATCGGCTCCAACAGTGCATCAGGACCAAGCTCAGATATTGGAGGAACAGAAACCGGCTGCAACGACAAATTCATTGGGAGATAACATTCAAGATTTTTGTTCAAAGGGAAGTATCCATGGATTGGTGATAATATCATCTTACATCCTCCAATGAGCGAACCCTGGCAAACCGCCTCTTATCCGTAAATGAAAGCTCCAGACCATCATCCAACTACAAAAGTTTGAAAGGTGTTCACATACATCAGTAGCTACATTCATATTAACAGTTTGACCTTTAAAAGAATGGCAAAGGAGACAAAGTAGCAAAATAAGTGAAGGCTTCAACCCCCTTTTCTGTAACCTACAGAAGTAGGACCCCCAAAATGCAAAAACATTTTTCATGGTCCATCTAGTCCTCTTTTCCAGTTAAATGAGGTGGATAACTAATACAACAAGGTGGTTGATTTAAATGCCACCAGTCCTAAGTGATGAGGGTAATTGACTAACAAGAAAACTACGTTAATTTTCTCATATGATAGTCAGTCATAGTACAATGAAGATTTTAATTGGGTTCACTCAGACTATGGTGTGTATGAATGATCTTTTATATTTCAAGAGGGGTAAAGAAGGTTAAAGAAGCCTCATACAGACAAAAAATGAGTCTAAATTTTGTGCATTGAGGAATTTCATGCATCATTGTTTACAAAGGGTGCAAACATGCTTCTACATCCATATGCTGCATTCACTAATTCCATTTGAGCCACAAAATCACCTCCGACCATTATCCTTTTCAGGAATCTACTGTTAACTTTATAGTTATAAATGTTATGTTACAATTTTTGCCGGCAATTATAGAAAGAAGACACAACTGACACATTAACTTGTTACAAAGAGTAAACTTACCTCAAGGAAAACCTTTGAATACTTGGAAGGCCACTCATCATCATCTTTTACCGCAGACCTAGAACAATATTACACTTGTGATAAGTGCTGAAGATTGATTCATTCTTTTCTTTGAACAATATCACACATTAGATGAGAAAGCTAATTTGACATTGGCAATTCTTAAAGCAGTCCGTTAATCGAACCTTTTCGAGAACGTTTTCTTTTTTGGGATAAGTAAATGAGAAACTGTCCATAATTTGGGTAGACACTTGTGGCCCTTAACCATTTATTGTTCATCAGTTCGCAAAACGAATAGCTTAACATACTTGACCAGCACAACAAGACATTATAGCTCACCGTTTATATTTTGTAACTGCAACTCCCTTGATATATATAGCACCCGCCATTCCTGACCATAGTTGTATAAAATATCAGAGATCAACTTAAATACACTAGGCAACAGAAATGCCATAATTTCCAATCTGGTAGCTTGACAGTTTATTCTGTTGTTAAAACCTAGAAAATGCTAAGGAAAGGCAGAGTGAAAATATGCAAGACAAAACTATGAGAACTTCATCAATAACTTATTGCTAAAAGATATTTGTGCCTGAGAGCAATTTGATTTGGACGAAAACACATAGCACACAACTAGGAGAACTTCATCAATATCAAGGATAACTAAGTACAACATATCCAGAACTAGGGTTACTCAGCTCCAAACTTACATGTTTAGTGTGGGCAGCTATTCCATACATGCAATTGTGCAAATACATTCATTTTTAAAACATTTTTATCCAGAAGAGTTCGTTATTAATGGAACTTTTCTAACATTGGAAACAAAATTAGTCAATTTTCAGATGCAGTAAAAATTTAAACAAAAGAAAAGTAGCCTCACCGAACTGGAAAGTAGGAAAAGGAGGGGAATCGAGCTCAATCCACATGTTTTTCCCTTTGCGATTTGCAGCTACGATAGTTTTTCCCTCAAGAGATGCCTTGAAATCCACAGGAGACACGCCGTCGATGACCTTGGGATCGTCGGCGATGATAGCTTTCACAATTTTCTTGCCAATGCAGTTGTCCTCGATGGCTCGTCGAGCTGCCTCTACCTCTGGAAGCTCTGGCATTTTCGAGCTTAGCTGAGTTTCTGAGGAAACTGATGGAGTTTCGCGCGCTTTGTCTCCCTAGGGTTTTGTCACGCAGGGGAGAAGGGTGGAACTTGGAAATGATTTTACAAAAGTTTTGATTGAAATTTTAATTATTATTTTTTCAAAATAAAACATCGCCTATTTTAAAATTTAAATAAGTATTTGGCCATTAAGTTTAAATATTTTCATTTTATTTATAAAATTATGTTTTATTAAAATTACATATGAGAGGAAGAAATTGGGGAAATAAGAAGAAAAAACTACCTAATTAGACATATTTCACTACCATATATACTAGAGTAAATTTTAGGTTTAATTTAGCAAACATAAAAATCATGTTTGTATGTTATAGCTATAGTTTGTATAATTGTATTTGTATAAATCATTGGCAGTCTCTCATTTGTATAAGTCGTTGGCAACCTCTCATTTGTATAAATCGATGGCAGCCTCTCATTTGTATAAATTGCTGGCAGCCTCTCGTTTGTATAAATCGTTGGCAACCTCTCAATTCAATTGTATATATGTAACTACTATGTATATGTATCAATGATTGTGTTTGTGTATCTGCATAAAATTTGAATTTATATACAATTAAATCGGAATAAAATATTTGTATATCAAATCTCTCTCTCTCGATTTATACAAATACAAATTATACATAATATGTATAATTTGTATTTGTATAAAGCGAGAAAGAGAGAAAGTCGAAAGAGAACTGGTAGGGGAATAGCTATATTTGTATAATTATAGGTGTATATGATGAAAATATATGTATTTGTATTTGTATATACAGTTTTCTCTCGCTTTATACAAACACAATTAAACACAATTTATACATTTGTATTTGTTAAAGTGACAGAGGCGAGGGAGAGTGGCGAGCGAGATTTGTTGGGGAGAGAGGCGAATGACAATTGTTTTCTACGGATTGCAATTAAATGAAATTGTGGTTATAACATTTAATTTGAATTAATAGTTTGTTATTTTATACAATTTCCCTGTATACTATTATTATTTATACTTTCAAAATAGTACAACTTTCACATACAACAAACACAAAATTCATATTTGTATGTTATAGCAAAATTTGCATAATTGCGCTTCATAGCAAACATATATATGTATAATTCGTTGTGTATATACAAAAAAAACAGTTGTATAATTCGTTATACATATACAAAAAAAACAGTTGAATAATTCGCTATACATATACAAAAGAAAACAGTTGTATACAAAAGATCAATTGTATAATTTGTGTATGTATAAAACGAGAAATAGAGAAAGGCAAAAGAAAACTGGGCAGACAAATATTTGTATTGTATAATTATAAGTGTATAAGACGAACATATTTGTATTTGCATGTGTATATACAATGTTCTCTCGCTTTATACAAACAAAAGCGCAATTTATACATTTCGTTTCTGTTTGTATAAGCGAGAAAGGCGAGGGTGGCAAGCGAGATTTGGGAGAGTGGCGAGCCAGATCTAAGAGAGGGGAACGAAAATATATGTATATATACAATTTCCTCTCGCTTTATACAGACACAAACGCATTTTATATATTTGTGTTTGTATAAAAGCGAGAGAAGCGAGCGAGACTGCCACCAAACGAGAGTGGCGAGCGAGATTCCACCAGGGAGAGTGACGAAAATAACAATAGTTTGCTTTAGGTTACAATTAAATCAAAGTATATTTATAGTATTTAATTTGAATTAATAGTTTGCTATTATATATAATTTTCCCTTAAAAATATTATATATCTTACCACTAATTAAGAGTTTTCTACATATTTTACACTTAAATACATGTATTTTTACTACTTGATACACAAAATAAGGAGAGAGGCGAGCGAGATTGAGGAGAGAGGCAAACGATGTTCGTATGTATCCCAGATATATGCGAAACACACTAGATACATGTATATGTATGTATCTTAAGTGTTTCTCATATATCTAAAATATCATATACATTGGAGAGTGGTGAGTGATGAGTCCACGATTTGGACTCATTTAGGGCTTTATTTTAATAGATTAGTGTCCTCAAATGCATAATTTGTGTCAATAATTGATGTAAATCCTTGAATTTCAGGTATTTGGATTGAGGAACAAGGCATGGACACTATTGAGCAAAAAGGAACAAGGCAGCTAAAAGAACAATGGAAAGAAAGCATGAGGATCGCCTAACCCATTAGGCGAGTCACTAAATGGCCAGGGTGTCACGCCCCAAACTCAAAGGGGCGCAACTGACTCCTAAAGCCAAAACTCAGGCCCGAGCCGACCCTGCTGAACCATTTGCTATTAGCGCATGGCAGTTACATGCAATTAAGAAAACAAACAAGTATATCTCGGCTTAAAACTAAGCCCTCGGCCGGCAAGGCCCCTGTCAACAGATCTACAAAAGAACCAGCTACTCCCAAGAGTTCATATAAAGAAATATCCAACTAGCACAGAAGTCCTGATTGGGCCGTCGAGGCCACCATGATGTCTATACCAAAACTAAAAACAGGTAAATAACAGTACAATACATCAAACAGCTCACAAGCTTCAGCAAACCAACAACATAGGCCAACATGGCCATAACGTAGCTATAAACCCCACACACTAGTCTGCAAGCCTCTAAGAGTAGTAAAAATTGGTGGGACAGGTCCCCAACCTACCCATGAGAATATATACAACAAAATGTAACAAACCTCCCAACTCTGGCAGCTCCGGAGAAAAGGGGCTGACCAATCGGATAAAAGTCAAGTCTGCTGGTATGGAGGTCTACTCGGTCATCTGTCAGGACCTGCATGCATGAATGCAGCGCCCCCAAGGCAATGGGGCGTCAGTACAAAATAATGTACAGAGTATGAATGACAATAGACTATGATGAGGTATCCTGATATACTGGAATAATCTGATAAATAAATTAAGGATAAGATAATTGTACTGACCTGCTTCTAAATCTAAATTTATCAAAAATAATAAAAACAACAACCTAACCAAGCCCCCATAAGATCGGTAGGTACAAACAGCACACAAGACCACCTACTCAGGCCCCCATAAGCCCGGAAGGAGCTAATCAACCTGTATACCCCTATCGGTAGTCCCCTAGCCCCGCAGGCAGTCACATAGCCCTCTTAGGCAACAACATAGCCCTCTTAGGCAACAACATGGCCCTATAAGAAGCACATAACCTTCTTAGGCGTCAATATATATCCCTGTAGGCAACTCATAGCCCTTCTAGGCATCAATATAGCCCCGTAGGCAACTCATAGCCCTTCTAGGCATCAATATAGCCCCGTAGGCAACTCATAGCCCTTTTAGGCATCCATATAGCCCTGTAGGCAGAACATAACCCTGCTAGGCATAGATCACATTCCTGCAGCTAACAACAATAGCCCAAAGGCAACAATAACAATCCAACAGCTAAAAGTGAGCAATTTAGTTATAGACAACCTATACAAATAGCCTCTAAGTCGTGTCCAACATACGAATGTTACTACTGAATAAGAATCTCGATAAGAAAGGATTATACGCACTCGAGCAGCCAACAATCAACAATAATAGCTATAAGTATAACAACAATAACAACTCAATTACATTGCTCCTGAACTTTAAGGAAACATGCCATAGGAAGAGAATAGCCTTAACATACCTTTTTCGCTAAATTCACGTGGCCTAAAGACTTTAACTCATAACTCCCTCGATACTACAACAAGGTAGGACCATAATCAACACATAAAATAAAAGATACCATGACAATACAATAAAAGATATGTATTTCCGTCGCAAATTGCTATTTGTTGCTTATAAAAGCTAGAGTCGATGAAAGAAGGGTCTTACCTCGATCTTAGGTTCGTAATTCACCTCAAAACCTTCAAATATATTCAAACCCCTGCTGTCCCAACTCTAAAATGTGATATGCTACGCAATCGATAAAACAAATTATACCACGATGATGAGCCCTACGCGTAGAACAACTTTCGTCAAGGACTTATGTCGAGAAAATCTATATTTCACTTGATCCTAAAAATGGGTTTCTATGTTTTCTCTGTATATTTAGCTTAAAATGAAGAAAATACTCGAAGAAGAAGATATATACACTTTCCACCGACCTAGGGCCCCACCTCACGCGCTTGCTTGCGCAGTCCCACGAAAATGCGAATATCTCTCTATTCTGAAGTCGTATGAATGAACGGTTTGATGCGTTGGAAACTAGACTCGTAGACCTTCGATTCAATAGTTTGTGGGCCCCATAACTCTTTATAGATTGGGAGAAAACCTCCAAGACATTTGACCCAAATTTCAGAGAAATCTTTAAGAAGGAAATTACGATAACTTCCGCCAACTTTTATTTTGCCACTTACCTAACTTGAGATGCAACACTTGAACACTTAAAATAGGACATACCACATCATTCTTAATTTATTACTCACCCTCCTTGTCTTTCCACGAATATACGAGTTAATTTAGACGTTTTGAAAAGTCGGGGTGTTACACAGGGTCTCGCCTAATGTTCCAGAGTGCCAAGTCTTGAAGGAGACAATCTAGTTAGCGAGAGAAAGGAGCAGTCGGCGAGTCGCCGAACGGTTCCACAATGCAGTGCCATATCGCCCAAAGTTACAGAACCTGAAGATGTTGAAGGCAAAAGCAAAATGGCGATAAAAATGATCAAAGGGCGGATCGCCGATTGGGTTGACAATCCCGACTAACTGCGCCGATTGAACCTCCACAACACACTTTTTAACAACTATAAATACTTGTTTAAATTCTTAGTTTAGTGGTGGATTTAGTGAGAGCGATTTTTAGTGTTGAAACATATTATTTTTCAGTTTTTGAAGTTTGAGAGCTTAGAATTGAGTTTAGAGACAATATTTCCTTAGCTTTGAAAATTTTCATTTCTAAGAAATTCGAAGTGGGTGTTGAAGATTCTTCATCTTAGACTTTTGTAAAGACAATATCAATCGTACCCAGTTATTGGAAACACAACTTGGTAACGATTTTTACTTTTTTACTTTTTTACTTTTTCTAGCTAAAACCCTAATTCTTTAGGTGTGATTATAGGTTGATTTAACTGCTGGGTATTGTTAATTTATAGTTTATTTGTTGTTTAAAAGTGATTTCATTCAGTAATTATGGTTGAATTTAATGGGTTGTAGTTGCAAATACAATCTTAACTTCGTGTTTTTGGCTTGCTCGAGAGAGATGTTTTAAAACCAAAATTACTGACGAATCGATGGTCTGTGGGTATTGGGTTGTCATGGGTTCAGTTCGAGAGAGTGAATCCTAAACCCTTTTCCACACATTCAGCTCGAGAGAGTGAATGGATTAAAGCGAAGGTTGTGCTTCATTGATGCTTATTGGTGTTCGAAAGAAACTAATTTGATTCGGGGTAAATTGTTCGAGAGAAAGTTTACCCCCACTAAAGTCTAGCTTATTCACTGATTTGTAGCTGTTTACTATTAATTGTAATTACCCGGCTGTTTACCTTAACCCATAATCCAATCACATCTCAAGAATTTCGTCTCTATATTCGTATTTTCGTATTATTTGTTGTTTTAGCTAATAATACAAACAAAACTCCCTTGATATTTGACACTTGTGTCACCCAAACTTGAACTATGCTTTTATTCGTAAATGTTTTCAGCTATGATTGACTTGAACGTATTCTTACTTGCCTAATGATTCTCAATTACGAACCACTCCCTTGGGACTCGACCCCAACTCACTTAGTTGGGTTATATTACTACTCACGATCGTTGGCACTTAGTATTGAATGAAATGTCCTGATACGTGAAATCAGTGAGCGAGATGAGAGAGAGGCGAGAGAGAGTTGTTATGTATCTCAGATACATGCGAATCCCCTCGGATACAATATATCTAGAACAAATTATACATAAATTTGACTCCATCTATCTAGATGTATCTGTAGGCACAGTAAAATTTATGTAATTTCTCTAAATAAAAATAAGCCTTCCTTTTCACGTGTCATCTCAATTGACCCTTCACTTAATATTCTTTTATATATTTTTTATCATTGATTTTGATCAAAATTTGAAAATTTGTCTTAAAAGAAAAATTAAGTTTCAAAACTTCTATTCATAATTTATTTATTTTTTTCAAATAAAATACATATGCAAATGCAATTTTATATTTCCAAATATTACAATTTTTAAAAATTCAAATTTCGACTTCAAAATTTATGACCAAATGAAAACTTAATTTTGGAATTGCTATATTGATCACAGGCAAAATATTTGATTTTGAAACGTTAAGCATCGGAAAATGTAATATCAGGGCCGTCTTAATCACTAGGCCACTAAAGCCATCGCTTTGGGCCCCCATTTTTTTTTAAAAAAAATACTTATACATATTATTAAAAAATTATATTAATTTTTGAAAGAAAAAAACGTGTAAGAGGTTTTATAGTTTTTCTTGAAAAATTGTTATCGTTGATATTCTTAGTTCATAAGTATATGTAAATTGTTTTAATTATTATAAAGAATTTATTCAGTCTTAATATGTCAACTAGAAAACATGATTCTGATTTTGATAAAAAGAGAAAAAACTTGAAGAGTTAGATAAATCTTAAAAAAGAGCTCTTGATAGATTTTTAACAAATAATAAAATTTTTGAATAAAAAATATTGGAGGATGTTCTTCAAATGATCAAGTAACTCAATTATATAATTGAGTTAGATGATAATAATATCCAAGAAGAAAATCTAGAAGAAGTTGGTGAAAATGTGATATTGTTCCCGATATCAAGAACTCTTAAATAATTTAAATAGTTGCATCCCTAAAAATATATATGATCCAAGTCAATGGAATAATGTAGTTACAAAATTAAGAGATCTATTAGTAGAAAAGGGATTATTTAGAGTGACTGATATAAATTTCCACAAGATAAATACGTACGACATTTTTCTACAACACACTATATTCAAAAATTCGTAAACGGAGAAAAGCATGAAAGAAAATGATTAATCTACTCTACAGATTTGGATAAAAAAATTTGTTTTTGTTGTAAATTATTTAGCACAGCTTTTATTATTTGTAATAGTAAACTAGCTAGTGAAGGTAGTAATGAGTGGAGAAATCTTAGTGTTAAGCTCAAAGTCCATGAAGTAAAGAATGAACATATTATTAATAATATGAGCTTCTGTATTGATTTAGAAATGAGATTGCATTAAAAAACAATTGATAAAGCTGTGCAAGAACAAATTGACAGAGATAAAATGCAATGAAAAAATGTATTGTCAAGAATTATTGACGTGATCAAAACTCTAGGGAAAAATAATTTAGCATTTAGGGGAACAAATGGAAAGATCTATCAAGAAAGTAACGGTAATTTTTAAAGCCTAATTGAAATGATTAATAAATTTGATTATGCTATGCAAGAACGAAGAATAAGCATGACGAAATTCATAGTCATTACCTTGGACATAATATACAAAGTGAATTATTAAACTTATTGGCAAGTGAAGTCAAAAATAATATTATTAAAGAGATTAAAGAAACAAAATACTTCTCAAAATATTAGGGCCTCTCTTTAAGATTTGACTTTAGGCCCCAATCTTGTTAAGTCGGCCATGTGTAATATGTTGTCTTTCTTGTTTTAATTTGAACTCCATCATCCTTTAAGTGCACACTAACCATCACGAAAAATCTGCAGAATTTACTATAACCATATAGATTGTTATATGGAATGACATTAATTACGTGTAGCGGAAAAAATTCTTGGCCTACGTATCCGTAAGTAAATATGTATTTTAAACAAAAAGCTTATGCACGTTTATATTAGCAGATTTGGGTTTGAGACACAAGTTCTTTTTTTTACGTCATTGAGTGTTCTTATAAGTTAATAATCCTTACATATTCAATAAATTTATTAAGACAAATATAAGATAATTTTAACCAAAGCTACTAAGTCCGATCGACGAACCCCCTTATATATATATTTTAGCTCCATCGCATACATATATTCACGTACACGAAAGATCATATAGTCAAGTTGCAGATTATTATGTAGACATGTACATGCCTTTCATTTTTATTTTATTTTTGTCGTGCTTATTTTATTAGTTCTGATATATATATTGTATATCAAACAAACAAAAAACGTCTTCTTGAAAAATATATAGGCAAGGTTTACTCATTGATTATTTCTTAGCTACATAAATATTAGTACTACCTTGATTTTTAGATGAGTCGGGTTCACTTATCCAAATCTGAACAAATAATATTTTCATGAGCTAATTTTGTCATTCCCATCTATATCCCCATTATCACAGCAGCTATCACCTAAGTTGCTTGGACATCATTGGGTGTGTATCGGATCCGTCAAAAGTAGTGTATTTTTGGAAGATCCGACATGAATGCAACAACATTTTTTGGAGAGTCTGAACAACTTAGGCTACAACCACTACTGTCACTCTGGTGACAATTGGATGATCATTCATTTTGCCAATTTATGTTTGGTTCAGCTATACATGTAACTTGTAAGTAGCTAATTACTGTACAAGTTGACTTCATATAAATTTGAATTGGTGTTGCAGGGAATTAAATTTGGGGGACTCTATGATCTGTACTTGCTATTTCATTTTGAATTTGTAATGTACTAAAGAGCAGTAGTAATAAATTAAAAAACCTAGAGTCGAGTGAGTGTAAGCAAACACATTTTGCAATAAATTTTCAGAAGCTTTCAAAAGAGCAAAAACAGCTCATTCAATGCAAAACACGGATCCTAGCCGTTGCCCTGACCATATCAGACGTTGGGCTAATTCCCACTCAACGCCGAATCTACAGTGTTAGTTACTTATTCACGTAAATTTAATACTAACTTTTACTTGTACATATTCATATCCACATCACGTAAATTTAACGATGATCTTCGTATCAATTTATAACTATTTCATTGAATTAACTTTCATACATATGTTAGTATTTGTTACGTACACACAATAATCAAATGCGTAGATTTGTGCCTAGCTACAAAACTTAAAAGTAACAGTAATTAACTAAAGTATCACTGGTGTTGGGACACATAAGATAAGCTTATCCCAAACAAGCAATATAAAATAATTATCATTGCTTCAAACGTGCAACCAAGAATGCAGAAAATAATACGTTAGCTTGAATACATAACAACCCAAATTAATCCAGTGCTTCAATTACTTCGCAAAAATCATGATTTAGATTAAGTAGATCATTCAAATTAAATATGTGTTCAATAAATAATGGCTTCAGTTATTTAAAAGGAACTTCATTAAAATGACAGTAGTTTGCGCATATTTCAACTAATTTTATGAAAACACAAACACTAGATAACCTCTTCAAAACTTACATAGATCGGAAGGGAAGAAATCACTTAGCGGATCGTTGTAAGACCACCTTTTGATGATCAATTTCTTTCATATAATTAAATATATAACACGGCGTTAATTATTATAATTAACTAGATGATGATGAATTATTTGTTGCAGTAGGGGACTGAAGTGGAAACAAAGGCAATAGTTCAGGAGGTTCAGCGCCTCTAGGAGTACTTAGTGGACTTGGATGCAAATAAAATCCTTTTTCAGCAATGGCTTTTTCTTCTTCCAGCTCCATCGGCGATCTCGGACTGCCACGTGTAAGCATTTCCAGTGGTGAAATTGGCGAAGTCAAAAAGCTTCTCTTCCTAGCTGATGAAGAAGGAGAAGGAGAAGAAGAAGGTGAGCCGACACCGAAGCCGCCTGGCCCACCGAAGCTACCTCCATTGTTGAGCATGATCTCGAGCTTTCTCGCACTCTGCCTCCGTTCGTGCAGCTTGAAAGCCGATCGTCGAGGCCCAGTAACAGGGAGTTTCACGGAAGACGAATCTTGAGTTGCGCCAGTGAGTCGTTGAACAACGGCTCGGAAATTGGACGGGTCGGCTTGAACGAAAGTGGTAGTGGGCGTTGATGAATTCGGGTCAGAAGCCATGATCTAAGAAGAAGAAGGAGTAACGGAAGAAATTAAAGGAATAAGGTTTTTTTTTCTTTTTTTTTTGCGTATGAAAAATAGTTCTGCTTTATTTTGTGTGTTTGCTGGTTTGGAGCATCTTATCGAGGATTGTAAAATTGTCAGATACTCCAACGAGTAGACTTTGAGGCATATAGGGACAGCAAACAGCACAAATATAGACAGATACTCTTTCACATATCTTTTTTAATCTTATAAAACGGAAAAAGAATATATTTCTTACTGGTGTTACGTTTTTGATAAATTTCTAATCTCATAACACTTCCATGTGGGATCCACAACGTTTAACTTAAACCAAAAAGAAATATGGTTGAATTAAGTCAATGAGGGAATGATTGTTGTCGATAATTAAATTGTGAAGAGGGTAATAATTTTTAAGGGGGGGTACATTATGGACTATGGAGAATAGTGGTTACTGGTTACGTAGTTAAAAAGTTTGAAATTTGAAGGGGGAATAGTAGTGGGTGGCAGTGGGGGAAAAATTAGAAAACAGAGAGAAGGCAATAAATGGGAAAGAGCTGGCAGATATATATTATTATTGCCAGCATTTTGTAACGGGAAACGAGGAACTTCCCCTCCGTTTTTCTTTCTTTCAAAAAATAAATTAAATAAAATATCATAATGCTTGTTTTTTTTTTTTTTTAAATAAATAAAAATTCTTACCTGGTATTTAATATTCGCTTTTAGGGTACTTTTATTTTATTTTCAGGACTTTCAGTTTAGATATCTAATCAAAGATCAATATAAACACTAGCCACAATTTTGAACGATGAATCAAAATCATTTTTACTAAGACAGTTCATCAATGAAATAAATAAAGGAAAATGGGTCTGAAATAAAAGTCTGGAATGCACCTTTGCCCTTAGAATACGTGAACTTGGGACATAAAAGCGTCTGTTCAGTGGCAGAAGCGAAATAACACACCACCCCGTGTCCTGCAGTTCCCTTGCTTTTTCGCTTAATATATTGAGCGCCTGATATGGTTTGTTTTGGTTGAATATCTAAATATATGATAAAGTATTATTTAAGTCGTAAAATTTTATACATGTCCGAATTAATTAAGGCGGATGTTATGACAGTAGAAAGAAAGAGTATGAGTACAAGTTAGATACGAAGTTTGTTAATTACTATAACTAATTATGGCGTAGTTTCTTTGCTTTACTACACTTGTCTTTCTAATTTGGTTGCTTTGCGGGATTGCCTTTCTTTATATTTTGTTTTATTGTAATCAAATTACTCTTTTCTTCACGGGTGCCACCTTCAATTTTCTTCCTACAAAAAAGATATCCATCCACTCTCTCTCTTCTTTTTTCTATTGAAAGAAGACGTATCATTAGTATATAGACATACATCATATGACATAATTCAATCGTATGTACAGTGGCTAAATGGTCCATTAACAAGACATAGCTTTCCAAATGACTGATCATAATGTATGAAATTATTGTAACACCAATTGATATTGTAAAACAAATTTGAGCTCGCCCACACAAGATTATTTGAACGTATAAATAGGTCGATTCTCTTTTATATGTGAATTAGATGTAAGACCTATAATTGAACCATTTTTAGGGTATGGCTATTAATATTTTTAAATAATAAGAGTACTAGCTAATTGTTAGGATATATTTTGTGTGGTTATTTTATCATCCAACATTTTCCATCAATATAATTAGAGTACAATTCAATTGTATATAAACTTCATTTTTTCACACCATTATCACAAAATTTTGTATCTAGCTCGGATGTTATATGTGTAGTAATATTATTTGAAATTGCTAATTATATGCAGAGTTGGATCGAGGATTTGAAGTTTGTGAATCTTTATAACGACATTAAATTACTAAGATTATATGGAGGATTTGAAATCTGTGGAAAATAAAGAATGGAATAATATCAGCTCGATGTGTGCACATATATTTTATATACATGGATCCTAGGGCCTCATGTTTTTGAAAAATGGCTACACATGTTTGATTGACAGAAGAAAAAAGAGAGTACTTTGGTTGGAATCTGAATGGCTAATGCCAAAGAAAATATATATAGGCTCATCCATTTTTAGAATAATCGAAATGACAAATCATGAATGCACTTTACTCATTGTGCCTCAAATGTCAAAAAGGAGTTTTCAAATATCAATCATGTCACTGCAAGGCCATGAGAAGAAAAAAAAAAGGCAAAAATTTAGAATTTATATTTTATAGGTTAATATAGCGATATCGAATTAATATACGGTAATAATTGAATTCAAATACAAAATAAACATTCAATATACCAAGTATATGAGCAATAGCGGTTAAAATGATATAATCGATTTCAATTAGTTTGAAACTAAAACGTCGACATTCAGATTTAAAATAAATGAACTTTTAAGTTCATCCAAATAAAATAAGTATATCATCTAAACTTGTCCGAAAAAAGTTTATGGGCCGGCAACTTTATCAAATGTTGAAAATCAGAGAATTGATCATGAGAAATATTTAAATTATAATGATGAGAATCATGTGTGGACGACAAAATCATAGCATATTAGTTAACCCCTTTTTTAATAACGCGATTAATGGTTAAATTAAACACATTGGTTAATTAATTAGTACTAAATAAACTATCGGATCAGCCGTGTTTCCTGTTCTCCACTATGGATAACTTTTTTGTTATACTCGCTGTTCCACAATAGTTGTTTACGTATTAAAAATAATTGTCCAATAATATTTGTTCAGTTTAAAAAATTAAGAGATAATTTACTTTGTGTGTCTATTTTACTCTTGCTATTACATACATTTATCATCAAATACATTTTTTAAATCATTAAATTTAATAAAGTTAAAAAATAAAATAATATATTAACCCCTACTTTATTTTTTCTCTGTCAGTCAAAATGAACAACTATTATTGAACAAAAAGAGAGTGTATTAAACAATTATTGTTTGGTGGACTTGAGAAGGAAGCTACATTGACTTTTAAGATTGTTTTGTCACATTATAATTTATTTTTTATTTTTTATTTTTTAATTATTTTTGTTATTAATTATATTTTTTAGAATATTATATTGTATTATATTAAAAGAATAATATAGTAAAATCATCATTTTATTTATTACTATTTATTAAAAAATATGTGAAATAAATACTGAACAAGTAAAAATAGACAAGAAATAACCTATTATCCTATTGTTGGCCACCGTCTTCTATATATTCTTTCTATATAGTACCAGCACCGTCTATTTATTACTCTATGATAAAATAGAAAAATTTGCTAAGATTTTTCATTTCAGGCTATATTATATTCGTTTTCCATGTAAAAGGAAATTGCCATCATTACGATTTACGACTTGTCTCATCTTAAATTCTAGTCTATAGAAATTATCTTTATCCAATTATCTATAGTATATGTTGGTCTTTTTGATTATGAGAAACAAAAATTTATTGTAATGAATATAAAGAGTCTAGCTTAACTTCATAAAAGCTGGTTTGATGAAGAACACTCTAATAATCTTGATTTTTTTAAAGATTGACATGTGGGAGCTACTTCAGATTATATAATACGAGTCTATCTTACATCAATATCATGTTCAAATAGGGAATGTTAGGTATTGCATCATATATCATGAAGTGAAGATTATTCAAAATTATATAAAAAGAAAATAATTCATTTCTGTTGCGCAACATTGCGCATTCCAACAATAAATAAAGGTCTTTAAACCTTAGACTAGTGTTGTCTTGAAATACATGTTTTTTTGAGACGTTTCATATGAATCAACTAATTTTGATTTGTTAAAATCAGCTACCTATTCAATTTTATCTGTAATTATTACTTTATGCAAGGGAAAAAACATTTCTCTAAAGTTGATTTCCAACTTATGGTAATTTAATTTACAAGGATTTAATAATAGTAAATCTAAATCATATCACCAAGAAATCACATTTTAGTACCTTACCCACTATTTTGGTTTAGGCAGACGTACTTACTGGGCTACGGCCCAGCCTTATCTCTAGCAGAAGCCCACTCAAAAAGCCGTAAAGGTCAGTGAATGGGCCATTGGGCCAAGGATTATGTCCAATATTTCGAGTTGTAATAACATTAAGGAAAAATTACTTGGATGGATGCTTTTTAATAAATAATTACGGATTTGATACTTTTTATTTATTACCATTTATAGCAATATTATGTTAAATCTGCAATATGTATTAAAAGTGAATTATATATGCAATATATATATATGTATTATAACTGTTTTTAAAAATATATTATGTTTGTTTGGTAAGAAATTGACACATTGTATTACAAGTGTATTAAAATGTGTGAAAAATGTATTATCCATCAATAAAACTTGTATTATATGTGAATAATAATTTGTTCTTTGTAATATGTATTAAAAGTGATCAAGTGAAAAAAAAATGTTATTGCTATAAATGGTAAATATTTTTTTAATATAGTATATTTATGTAAGTTACCCCATATTTACGCGGATTGCCACTTTTCAATCGTAAAATTGAAAAATAGTCAGTTTTTAACTTGTACAAATCGAAACTCTAAGATAATGACTATGTCTGCAATAATATAGAATAAGAAATAACTATTTAAAACAAAATCTCAGATTTTGATGCTCGAATTGAAACTTTATACACGACTAATGACCCTAATTTATTGATTTAGCCCATTTGATCCGTTCAAATCCAATCCAACTTGCCATTTTGACACAGTTACTTTCGGTCATTGTAACTAAGCAAAATCTATTCAAAAATAACTAAACACAGGTAAATTCAAGGGCTCACAGCAACTTAAATAAGTATTAATAGCATTCATGGAAGCTCAACGGCTCATAACAAGATTTCAAACCAAGGAGCCTCAAGACAGGCATATATCAACATACGTTTTTCTCCATAAGAAAAAAGAAGCTAATAGATGTTAAGTGAAACATAAGTTCTCTTTATTTTTCTATAAACTTAAAATACCATATGTGGCTACCAGTTAAGTACATTAGAAAGAAAACTTCATGTATGTAAGGTGATTTATTAAAATCAAGCATAACTGGTATTAAACAGAAAGAAAAGAAAACCTAAAACATCAATGATATGAAGGCAGTTCAAGCGTTCGATCGGAGTGAATTATAGAGATAGATCAGCCAAGTCAAATGATCTTGAAACAGCTCGGCACCAAGAATCCGCCTTCTTTTTCCTCAATTCTTCTTCTAACACAGGTTTGAATATAGTTGCTTGCTTCAGCTTTTCTCCAGTAGCAAATATCTCATCCTCTGTGTAGACTCCAACAGCTAATCCAGCAGCATAGGCTGCCCCAAGAGCTGTTGTTTCTATATCAGCTGGTCTTACAACTGAACTACCCAACAAGTCAGCCTACATTATGTAAAATGTAAAATTAGGAGCTCCATACTGTACGTTAACTGAATCTAAACACTTATAACGGTCCAAAACTTAAAGCCACTGCAAACATATCTAAATGTTTATCAGGAGTTGCACATTGAAGAAATCATTGAGAGAAGTTCAAAATCACGTGGGGGGCTGCAGAAGAAGAATAACACATGAAAACTGAAAAAGTAAATCAAACCTGAATTTGCATCAAAAGGTTGTTGACCGTAGCACCACCATCCACACGGAGTAAGAATTCTGTTTTGTCACTCTTAGCTTCAGCATCCTTGTGCATGGAATCAAGCACATCTTTTACCTGGAAACACATGCTTTCAAGTACTGCCCGAGCAATGTGAGACTTGTTGGTGAATCTAGTTATACCGATACAAATCCCGCGAGCATCATCACGCCACCACGGAGCAAACAATCCATTAAATGCTGGAACGAAATAAACTCCTCCTGTTGAGGAAACTTTTGATGCCAACTCCTCAATTTCGCTGGCAGAGCTGATAATGCCAAGACTATCTCTTAGCCACTGAACCGC